TGATCCGTTTGAAAAAAGGTCTTGGACAGACCAACCAGATTTCACCTTTAAAATAAATCTAATTAGAACATTGAATCACGTCAGTGCTCCTTCTTACCTGTTTGTAGCGCTCCACCTCAGCCTCCACCTCCTGCTTAGCTCGGCTATGTGCAGCCTGTTGCTCCTCTAGCTGCACCTGCTGCTCCCGCCACGTCTCCGCCTCCGTCAGAGCCTGATTCTCCAAATCCTGTCAGAGGAGAAACACATGTTTACAGCTGAACCGATATCTTAGCTGCCGACGTTTACAATAAAAAGTTAGGCACTCAAATCAAACTTTTGTATCTTGCAGGAGGAATGAAGAACAGCCCTCCCCGTCACATTTATCAAACAGGAAACAGAAACAGTTTGAGGTTTGTATTCACTCCTACTCTGTCGAGACTTTCGACCTTTCACATCCTCTCACCTGGATTTCTGTCCGCAGCGTGTGCACCTGCCCCTGTAGTTTCTGGATCTCCTCCCTCTGCAGCTCCTTATCGTGACGCAGATCCTCCATCTCCAGAGTCATGGACCCACTGCCCTCCAGGGTCTCCAGACCAGATCCCTCCTTCAGACTGCTGATCAACTTCTCTTTGGACTAGAACACCAATCAAACACACAGAGCAGGTAAAGCCTCTATAACTCCATTCAGACGCTGAATATGAAAAGGACAGAAAGTCTTACCTGCAGGATGCGTGAAGCTTTGTGCTTGTAGTCCTGTAGCTCCTGTTTGGAGCTCTCGGCTGCAGCTTTGGAACTCTTCAGCTGCTGCTGGACCTCGTCGCCCCGGAGCTTCTCCTCCGCAGCTCGTCGCTCTGCTGCCGTCACCGTCTCGGCCAGGGTCTGCCTCTCAGCCTCCACTTTGGACAGACGGCCAGCGTACTCACTCTGCACAAGAACAGAGGATTAGGATGTCTTATCATTCTGTAGAGATCTAACAGAGCTGAATATGAAGGAAGAAGAATGGGCGGCGTGTTCACCTGCATCTGCCGGTAGTTGTCCTGTTCCCTCCTGAGAGCCAGCTCAGCGTCTCGCAGCCTCTCCTGGATGGTTTCTATAGTCTGGTTGTGCATGCTGCTCCCTTCTGTGTGGTCCTGCATGATCCTAAAAAAAACATCACAGTGTCTCTGACACATAGACGACACTCAGGCTCAAACGTTCAACATTGAACATCATGGAACGCCCTCCAGCAAACTCTAAGGATCAGAGTTCTTCCCTCTCTTCCAGAGTTTAGGAATTTGATTTGATTTCGAACAACTTTGTTTCAAATTGTAACTGTTTTAAATGATCTCAGTGGTTTTCTCAGTGTTTTTGCTCGTTTTACTGTGCTTGTAATCTCGACGGCATTGGAAATGAGGGAAACCTCAGTGTCTTTTTGAGAATAAATTTGAAAATTCACTGATACATGCTAAATATAAGTGAGATGAGTTCCTCACATTTGATTCACATCGTTAAACTTCTGATTCAAGTTGAGGAATAAACTAAAGCGTCATTCTGTGGGAAACACTGAACTGTCTTTAAGATGAGCGGTGGTAAATGTTCTCACCTCGACTTTTCCTTCTGTGCCTCGTCTAACGCAGCACTGCGAGACTTCAGCAGCTGATCGGCTTCATCCAGTCTGATTTTCAGGACTGCGAGTTGACCGTCTTTGGCAGAGAGGGCTTCCGTGAGGTCGTCAACATGTGAGCGGAGTTCACGCAGCATCCGGTCGGTCTGAGCCTGCTCCGAGTTCCACCGGTCAGCACGTAGGCGGGTCTGGTTCAGTTCTACACGAGTGAATGGAAACAGATAAAAAAGTGAAGCAGAGGTGCAGAGATACAGGTCAGGACTGTCGCTGCGTGTTCTCTCCTCTCTTACCGTCTTGTAAGGATTTTGCTCTCTGGATGACCGACGCCATCTCCTGGTTGAGGGACGCCACCTCACTACGCAGCAGCTGGTTCTCCAGACGCAGACTGGACAGGATCTGACTCTGTGGCTCCTCTGTGGGAGGAGGAGGAGGAGGCTCCTGTCTGCTGGACTCCTGAGGGAGAGCAAACCCCGAGTCGGACCCCTCAGGTGTCTCTGTGGTGACCATGTGGAGGTTAAATGAAGAACACATAAATATCATTCAGACACAAAAGCCTGAAAGAATCTGAAATCACAATTTATAGAAATGAGGAAACAAAAACATGGCCGGTCTTAAGGCTCTGACTTTAAATATCTACATACAAAGCACAAAGCAAAAAATGTGGAATTGAACCAGCGACCCTCCAGTTCCAAACCCAAGTCCTGAGAGACTGAACTCTAAACATATTGCTCTACTGCACAATCCATACAGACACAGTCATCTAATGAATCAAATATGTTTTTAAAGCCAGTTACTGGAGGGTGTTCTCCATGAATGTCACTGAGATTGTATTGATGCTCCTTCTTTAAATGATTAACCATGTACCGGTTCAGCACCTGGGTAGGACTGTTTATAAACGGGTCACACCCACATTTGTCTCAAAGCGCTGATGAAAGCCGCGGGCTGACACACGTTCATCTTTAACCCAGCAGGTTTGGTACTGATCCTACCTTGACTCTGCTCTTTAGCCGAGCTCTCCTCTGATGTTTTGACGCTGTGAGCAGACAGCGAGCTCATACTGGAGGTCCTGGACACGCCCCTGGTGGAGGGGGGCGTCGACGGCGCTGAGGGGACGGGGTGAGGAGTGGTGGAAAGAGGCGGTGTTAGGTCTTGGGCCTCGGTGAACGGACCTGCCGCTTTCACAAGTTCTCTTCTTGAATCCCTCCTGCTGCTGACGGGAGGGTCCGAGCTGTTCAGGAAGTCGAACAGCATGTCGTCGTCCACTTCGTCCTGCTCGCTCTTTTTGGGCCTCACAAAGCCGGACGAGCCCTTGGAAGCGTTAGGCGCGGCGCTGCCAGAACCAGACGGGCCGCTGCTCACGTTGGCGGTACCAGACAGCAGAGTCGCACTGGATCTCTTGATGTTTCCGGCTGCTGAGGAGATGAAGCTGGGGGCGTCGTGAGAGGATGTGTAGGTGTGATGCGGGGCAGCTGCCGTGTTGTACTCAGCTGTGACGACTGATTCTTCTCCATAAGACGAAGAGAAGGAGGATGACCTCTCCTGGTTCTTGGTCAGGGCTGTGGCCGCTCCCTGGTCCACTTTATTCAGGAAGTCTTCAGCTTTCCCGGCCAGATCAGTAAACCAAGACATTTTGTATCCTGAAGGCAGAGACACAAACTCAGTGAGAAAGATTGATGTTTTGAACTTTGTTAGCTTTACTCACACAGCACTTTGGATTGAGCTTTAGATGTTGAATGTCATGTGTGTGTGTGTGTGTGTGTGTGTGTGTGTGGGGGGGGGGGGGTTTGCTGAGCTGTCAGTCATGTAAACTGTATACTCAGTGATACTTTTACACATCTGAAGTTCCTAACAGACTGAAGAGCAAATAAACAACAAAATAAAAACACCCTAACGCTCAATGTAGTCGATCAGCTTCTCACTCGTTGACATTCGACCTGTTGTATGGAGACCTGTGTTTAATGTTCATGCAGTCATCTAAAGCTAACTGTCAGCTTCTCTCACATTAATTAATGCCAATTTAGTGGAGAGAAAATAAAAAATGCTGCACTACATGAAGAACAGCAGGCAGACGTAGACACAATGTTATCACACATCTCATATCATTCTCATATCTCGTCCCTTTGTTGTGATGTCGTGTGAAGCACTTTGAATTGCCTTGTTGTTGAAATGTGCTTTACAAATAAACTTGCCTTGCCAGTCATAGGAAGGAAACAGGAATACATAAATCTTAAATTAAGAGTCTTATGATCGTTCAGCCTGAGAGACCAAACTGAGGGCACACTGCACACACATCAACAGCTGCTCCAGTTCACCTGTCGTACAGGTTGTGTATATGGGTTCAATTGCTTTTTTATTTCCTTTTATGTGTAAATGTAATTGGCAATAAAAAAACGATTCTGATTCTGAAATTGACCAAAGAACACGGAGACTGTTTGATTTGGAAACACGGGAGTATGGACAGATCTGAGTCCAGTGTTTTAATAATCCACTGAGTCCTCAGCAGTGTTTTAATAATCCACTGAGTCCTCAGTGTTTTAATAATCCACTGAGTCCTCAGTAGTGTTTGAATAATCCACTGAGTCCTCAGTGTTTTAATAATCCACTGAGTCCTCAGCAGTGTTTTAATAATCCACTGAGTCCTCAGTAGTGTTTTAATAATCCACTGAGTCCTCAGCAGTGTTTTAATAATCCACTGAGTCCTCAGTAGTGTTTTAATAATCCACTGAGTCATCAGCAGTGTTTTAATAATCCACTGAGTCATCAGTAGTGTTTTAATAATCCACTGAGTCATCAGCAGTGTTTTAATAATCCACTGAGTCATCAGTAGTGTTTTAATAATCCACTGAGTCATCAGCAGTGTTTTAATAATCCACTGAGTCATCAGTGTTTTAATAATCCACTGAGTCCTCAGTGTTTTAATAATCCACTGAGTCCTCAGTGTTTTAATAATCCACTGAGTCCTCAGTGTTTTAATAATCCACTGAGTCCTCAGTGTTTTAATAATCCACTGAGTCCTCAGTGTTTTAATAATCCACTGAGTCCTCAGTAGTGTTTTAATAATCCACTGAGTCATCAGTGTTTTAATAATCCACTGAGTCCTCAGTAGTGTTTTAATAATCCACTGAGTCCTCAGTGTTTTAATAATCCACTGAGTCATCAGTGTTTTAATAATCCACTGAGTCCTCAGTAGTGTTTTAATAATCCACTGAGTCCTCAGTGTTTTAATAATCCACTGAGTCCTCAGTGTTTTAATAATCCACTGAGTCATCAGTAGTGTTTTAATAATCCACTGAGTCATCAGTGTTTTAATAATCCACTGAGTCCTCAGTAGTGTTTTAATAATCCACTGAGTCATCAGTGTTTTAATAATCCACTGAGTCCTCAGTGTTTTAATAATCCACTGAGTCATCAGTGTTTTAATAATCCACTGAGTCATCAGTGTTTTAATAATCCACTGAGTCCTCAGTGTTTTAATAATCCACTGAGTCATCAGTGTTTTAATAATCCACTGAGTCCTCAGTAGTGTTTTAATAATCCACTGAGTCCTCAGTGTTTTAATAATCCACTGAGTCCTCAGTGTTTTAATAATCCACTGAGTCATCAGTAGTGTTTTAATAATCCACTGAGTCATCAGTGTTTTAATAATCCACTGAGTCATCAGTAGTGTTTTAATAATCCACTGAGTCATCAGTGTTTTAATAATCCACTGAGTCATCAGCAGTGTTTTAATAATCCACTGAGTCCTCAGTGTTTTAATAATCCACTGAGTCCTCAGTGTTTTAATAATCCACTGAGTCCTCAGTAGTGTTTTAATAATCCACTGAGTCATCAGTGTTTTAATAATCCACTGAGTCCTCAGCAGTGTTTTAATAATCCACTGAGTCCTCAGCAGTGTTTTAATAATCCACTGAGTCATCAGTAGTGTTTTAATAATCCACTGAGTCATCAGCAGTGTTTTAATAATCCACTGAGTCCTCAGCAGTGTTTTAATAATCCACTGAGTCCTCAGCAGTGTTTTAATAATCCACTGAGTCATCAGTGTTTTAATAATCCACTGAGTCATCAGTAGTGTTTTAATAATCCACTGAGTCCTCAGCAGTGTTTTAATAATCCACTGAGTCATCAGTGTTTTAATAATCCACTGAGTCCTCAGTAGTGTTTTAATAATCCACTGAGTCATCAGCAGTGTTTTAATAATCCACTGAGTCCTCAGCAGTGTTTTAATAATCCACTGAGTCATCAGTGTTTTAATAATCCACTGAGTCCTCAGTAGTGTTTTAATAATCCACTGAGTCCTCAGTGTTTTAATAATCCACTGAGTCATCAGTAGTGTTTTAATAATCCACTGAGTCATCAGCAGTGTTTTAATAATCCACTGAGTCCTCAGCAGTGTTTTAATAATCCACTGAGTCATCAGTGTTTTAATAATCCACTGAGTCCTCAGTAGTGTTTTAATAATCCACTGAGTCCTCAGTAGTGTTTTAATAATCCACTGAGTCATCAGCAGTGTTTTAATAATCCACTGAGTCATCAGTGTTTTAATAATCCACTGAGTCCTCAGTGTTTTAATAATCCACTGAGTCCTCAGTGTTTTAATAATCCACTGAGTCCTCAGTGTTTTAATAATCCACTGAGTCCTCAGTAGTGTTTTAATAATCCACTGAGTCCTCAGTGTTTTAATAATCCACTGAGTCATCAGCAGTGTTTTAATAATCCACTGAGTCCTCAGCAGTGTTTTAATAATCCACTGAGTCCTCAGTAGTGTTTTAATAATCCACTGAGTCCTCAGCAGTGTTTTAATAATCCACTGAGTCCTCAGTGTTTTAATAATCCACTGAGTCATCAGCAGTGTTTTAATAATCCACTGAGTCATCAGTGTTTTAATAATCCACTGAGTCATCAGTGTTTTAATAATCCACTGAGTCCTCAGTGTTTTAATAATCCACTGAGTCCTCAGTGTTTTAATAATCCACTGAGTCCTCAGTGTTTTAATAATCCACTGAGTCCTCAGTGTTTTAATAATCCACTGAGTCCTCAGTGTTTTAATAATCCACTGAGTCATCAGTGTTTTAATAATCCACTGAGTCCTCAGCAGTGTTTTAATAATCCACTGAGTCATCAGTGTTTTAATAATCCACTGAGTCCTCAGCAGTGTTTTAATAATCCACTGAGTCCTCAGCAGTGTTTTAATAATCCACTGAGTCATCAGTGTTTTAATAATCCACTGAGTCCTCAGTAGTGTTTTAATAATCCACTGAGTCATCAGTGTTTTAATAATCCACTGAGTCCTCAGTAGTGTTTTAATAATCCACTGAGTCCTCAGTAGTGTTTTAATAATCCACTGAGTCATCAGTGTTTTAATAATCCACTGAGTCATCAGTGTTTTAATAATCCACTGAGTCCTCAGTAGTGTTTTAATAATCCACTGAGTCATCAGTGTTTTAATAATCCACTGAGTCCTCAGTAGTGTTTTAATAATCCACTGAGTCCTCAGTAGTGTTTTAATAATCCACTGAGTCATCAGTAGTGTTTTAATAATCCACTGAGTCATCAGTGTTTTAATAATCCACTGAGTCATCAGTGTTTTAATAATCCACTGAGTCATCAGCAGTGTTTTAATAATCCACTGAGTCCTCAGTAGTGTTTTAATAATCCACTGAGTCATCAGTGTTTTAATAATCCACTGAGTCATCAGCAGTGTTTTAATAATCCACTGAGTCCTCAGTGTTTTAATAATCCACTGAGTCCTCAGTGTTTTAATAATCCACTGAGTCCTCAGTGTTTTAATAATCCACTGAGTCCTCAGCAGTGTTTTAATAATCCACTGAGTCATCAGTGTTTTAATAATCCACTGAGTCCTCAGTAGTGTTTTAATAATCCACTGAGTCATCAGTGTTTTAATAATCCACTGAGTCCTCAGTGTTTTAATAATCCACTGAGTCCTCAGTAGTGTTTTAATAATCCACTGAGTCATCAGTGTTTTAATAATCCACTGAGTCATCAGTAGTGTTTTAATAATCCACTGAGTCATCAGTGTTTTAATAATCCACTGAGTCATCAGTGTTTTAATAATCCACTGAGTCATCAGTAGTGTTTTAATAATCCACTGAGTCCTCAGTAGTGTTTTAATAATCCACTGAGTCATCAGTGTTTTAATAATCCACAGTGTTTTAATAATCCACTGAGTCATCAGTGTTTTAATAATCCACTGAGTCATCAGTGTTTTAATAATCCACTGAGTCCTCAGCAGTGTTTTAATAATCCACTGAGTCCTCAGTGTTTTAATAATCCACTGAGTCCTCAGTAGTGTTTTAATAATCCACTGAGTCATCAGTGTTTTAATAATCCACTGAGTCCTCAGTAGTGTTTTAATAATCCACTGAGTCATCAGTGTTTTAATAATCCACTGAGTCATCAGCAGTGTTTTAATAATCCACTGAGTCATCAGTGTTTTAATAATCCACTGAGTCCTCAGCAGTGTTTTAATAATCCACTGAGTCATCAGTAGTGTTTTAATAATCCACTGAGTCATCAGTGTTTTAATAATCCACTGAGTCCTCAGTAGTGTTTTAATAATCCACTGAGTCATCAGTGTTTTAATAATCCACTGAGTCATCAGTAGTGTTTTAATAATCCA